TTTTTTTTTTTTTTTTTTTTAAAGGATTCTTTTTTTCAAGTTTTATTTATTTTTGAGCGAGAGTGCAAGCAGGGGAGGGAGAGGGGGCGACATTGTACTGACTGCATTGAGCCCGATGTGGGGCTTGAACTCATGAACTGTGAGATCATGACCTGAGCTGAAGTCGGACAGTCAACCAACTGAGCCACCCAAGTGCCCCTACATTCTGATAACTTTAAAAAGCTAACGGGGCTTTTTAGAAAAATGTTTTAATTTTCCAACTTCTAAACGTAGAAAAATAAGAAAACAACCCTTTGCTGACTGAACAAACCTGTCTACCACCAGATTCCCTCACAGGTCAGCCATCTGCTCCCTGTGCCGTACAACTTCCTGTGCCATTTTCTCCTCCAGAATCTTCTCTTGCCCTGCCCCCGCCCCTCCTCCTGCTTGGGCCTCGGTTAGCTTCAAGCTACCCAAAGAAGCAAACCTGAAAGCAGGGCGGCCAGTAGGTCTCCCTGGGATCAGAGCCCAGCCTCTGACACTGGCCTGGTGGGGGTTTTATTTTTGCAGGTTCCCCAGACTCTCGCTACATCCGAGTGGAGACCTGCATGTTCATGATCAAACTTCCCCAGTACTCCTCTCTGGAAATCATGCTGGAGAAACTTCGTTGTGCCATTCACTACCGTGAAGACCCCCTAAGTGGCTGAGGGGAGGGAGCCCCGGAGTTAGTCCGTCACCGAGGCACCGCTCCGCCGGCTTGGGAAGCCTGCCACCGAGGGCACATTCCCTCCAGGCCCTGCGTGAGGAGTTGGCGACGTTTTGCTTTTCCGAACTTTTGTCCACGTTCCAGGGCTTCCTGGAAGACTTAACCTTTTGTATTTGTATGTTTTGTGATGGGTTGGTTCTTTTACACCTGTTTGTGGTATGTTTGTAGGATAGTTTAATTCCCAGGCAGCCTGTGTCTCATTTGATCTTCCCGGACATTGTCTCTCATGGCCACCGGATTCTGATGCCATAAGGCCCCAGTTAGTTCCACATCATGGAACCACCCAGCAGGAAGGTGGTGGTGATATACCTGCGGCCGGCCACACAGAGCATCCTGTTGTCTCTTCACAGCATCTTCACAGGTCTGTGGCCCTGCCCCTCCTGCCTTGAGCTGGAGTTGATCCTGGACGCAGCTCCCCCAGGCCTCCTTCCATCTTGAAAGGGTTGGGCCCCAACATGGGAGACACACAGGGAGCTTTCTGTGTTCATCTTCCAGCTTTCGAACCTTGTTTATGGTCTGGGTTTTTCAGAGGAAAAGCACCCCACCCCGGTGGCTGCCCGTCCCTTCCCCCTCAGCCCTCTGCTCTCCGTCTCTCCTGGGCCCCTGACCTGACAGTTTCCTGCTGAATGTTCCTCAGGAGACCAAAGGGTTCATTCTGACCTTAGTTCACAGCCAGGCGTGTCCCAGCTCCAGGAGTTCAGGACGCCTAGAGGAGGAGGGACGGACAGTGCTCGGGGGAGGGGGGGCTTTTTCTGAGACTGATTGAACAGGAAAGCACATGATTCAAGCCTACCCCCCTTTTGTACTCAGAAACGGCCCTTCCTCACCACAGTGTTGGTGACAGGAGGAACAGAAGGGCCACACGCCCATTTTAAAAAGAGCGGCTGACTGAGGTGCTCTGCTCAATTCAGGGTCTACTTCGGTGACCAAGACCTTCCAAGGACCACTATGCGGTCCTTCTGCCCCTCTGGCCAGGCCCGCCCCTTGTCCCCTCGCCGCCCCATGTGAGCGTGTGTGCCAGGGTGGAGCTGCTCCAGGCTCCCCCGCTGCCCCAGTGCATTTGTGCCCCAAACAGGTCTTTGTCCAATGGTACTTTGTTCAAGAGCAGCATATGCCGGCTTGTTGGACACTGTCATTTTGGGCCTTGCCAGTTCTCCTGGAATTGCATCACTGTATTTATTGTATAATATTGTGAATACTGAAGGTTCTGAGTGAGTGCTGACTAGAAGGTTCTGGAGTGTGCATGCTGGGGAGAGAAAGCTGTGCTTTTCCTTTCTCTGCTGTGGCCCTGGCCCGTTGGGAAGATGTATGGATTTTAGAGTTAGAGCCATTAGCAGCCATCTCCTCCCTCTTATTCTTAGGAAATGCGTTAAGGACCATTACTGAAGTGATTCCCCAACCTAAGGAAAAGCTAAAACTGGATGCATCAGTTATGTTTGATGCAGGAGCAGTCCTGTCTGGAGAGGAGGGCCTGCACGCAGGCTCCTTGCTTGGAAGGAAGATGGTTGGCTGCTGCCTCCTGAGGGCCAGAGCCCCGTTGCCTGGGGGTCAGACCAGGACGTAGTCCTGACAAGGATCCTCCTATTTCATTTCTGCATAACGAGAGCCTTTGGATTATTAGAAGTGGTTCTTCCTCTCTGTATTTTTAAATTCTTGGTCCCCTCCAATCCTTCCCATCCCTTAAATGGACTCAGAATTGTTAGCTACCTCCCCAAGGGGGGTTTTGGGAAGCTGCTTTTGGCCCATCACTTGATTTGATGACAGCTGTGAGTAAGATGTCTGCTGCTAACACGCTTCTCCCAGAGAGCACATTGAGAGGTCCAGACTGATCCAAACCTTGGCCCTAAAAAAACGTGTGCTGTAAAGTTACTTGATGTATATTTATTATAATTATTTATGGTTGCATTTAACAAAGTTTTCATTCAGTTTGAGGCTATTTACACCATTGCTGTGTAAAGGAAGCTCACTACAGGAAAAAAAAAAAAGTCACACCAATAAATAACCTTCATCTAATTTTGACTTACCGTAAGAGTTGTGTGGTCATCTACTCACTGAAAAGATACAATGACTGACCTGCTTGGACTGGGCGGCTCTGATCCTTAAGTGCGGTCCAAAGGTTAGGAATTTGTTTCTAATTATTGTCTCTACACTTGATGTGATTCTTACTCCCTCATGCTTACCAACTAATCCTCCCCCCCCCCCCCCCCCCCCCCCCCCATACTGGAGCTAGTCTGAACTCTTAGGCCAGTGGGAGGGTTTTCCTCAAGCGGATAATTGCAGTGGAAGGGGGTGGGAGCCAGCAGTGGATTTAGAACTGTACAAAAGGGAAATGCAGAGAAGATAAAGACTTAGGGCTGCTTTCCTAAGGTTGATGTTCAGCTCTCGTGCACAGCTGTCCTTTGCCACCCCCACAGGGAGCTCTGTGGTCTGCATGCAGGAGAATCCAATCTCCCAGACATGGTCCTGCTCCATGGGAGGGGGAGGTCCTCAGACCCATTTAGTTCTTCTCTTGACCCTACCTTTCTTACACTTAATAAATGCCAACTTTTAGTGAAAGTGTCCCACTTATGTCTTTATTATAGGAAGACCAAGGGTCCTCTTGGGTGAGGAACAACTCCCCTCAGGGTGCTGGAAACAGCAAAAGCCACCACTCAGAAGCTGGGGTGGATGGGGATGCCTTGTGTGGAGAGTCCCAGCTGAGCACAGCAAGAATTTGCTCTCCAGGATGGCTGAGGCCATCTCCTTTAAGAGTTGCTTCTTTAAAAAACTATGTTCAAAATTACGCTATCCAATAATAGAAGACATTCATCCTCATTAGTCATCAGGGGAAAGCAAATTAAAATCACAAAATCTATACAACCACCCCCAAAAAGGAAAGTACCAGGACTGGGGGAAGGCATGGAACCAATAGAACTCTCCTCTGGATGTGGGGAATGTAACCTACAACTACTCTGGAAACCTGGGTGCCCTCCACTACGCACCCCTTAGACCAATCCCACCTCTAGGTGTACGTCCACCAGAACACCCACCCATATTCACCAAAAGACGTGTAAAAATACAGCAGCAATAATAGTAGTAGCCAAAACTAGAAACAAGTTGAAGGTCCGAAGTAGAAAAAGTTACGGCACACAATGGAATACCATACAGGAAGGAAAGCAAACTGCTACCTGCAACCTATAGGTGAGTCAGAAACACAGTGTTCAGCAAGAGGAGTCAAGCATAAAAAAATACTTCATGGTATGAGTACTTTTAAATAATGAGTTCATTTAAATGTTGAAAATAGAAAAAAATAACATCTTAAAATGTCAAGATTGTGGTTATTCTGGGTCCCAGAGAGGAGGATAGAGAGTATGAGGGGTGTTCTGGTGTCCTGGTAATGTTTTTGATATGGGTGGTGGTGACAGGTGTTGAGTGAACCCTATGCTACCATGCACTTTTCTGTAGGGATGTTCTACCGTATGGATAGTTTCTTAAAAATACAAGCGGACCAGCGTGTCTGGCTGGCTCAGTTGGTAGAGTATGTGACTCTTGATCTCTGTTTAAGCCCCATGTTGTGTGGTGGTACCTACTTAAAAAAAAAAATCCCAATGCCTCCGTGCCAAAAAAAAAAACACAAAATGAAATCAGGAAATAAAAGCACACATTCCATCCTCATGAAACCAAAAGAAATCATTTCAGTCCACAATTTCTCAAAGGACAGCTACTGAAAGAATAAATGACTTAAGAGGACATCATGGGCAGCAAGCTTCTTGTAGGTCCCTTGGAAAAAACCAAAACGTTGCAAAGCAAAGAAGGAATTAGAGGCCCCACTGCCAAGAGAAAAACAAGGATTGGAAATTCATGTAGGAAGCAGTTGTTCAAGCCCACCACTCTGCAGAAAGTCAGAAGCCCTATTTGGGAGAATCAAACCCAGCAGCTAAGACCCCAGCCCCACCCTGAGTTTACACAGCAGACTGGAAGACCCCTTTCAGGAGGAAACCAGAAATAAGACCTATAGATTCTCACAGCAGGGGGTTCTTCAGTGAAAACACCAGCTTGTTACCCTACAGTGAATGTGAACAGTTAAAGAAGCTTCTCATCTTTAGTGCCCCAGCCTTAAATATAGACAGGCAAAAAACAGATGAGGAAGAGTCTATAACATGAAATACCAAACAAAAATAGGTAACACAGACTAGAACAAGAAACAACTATGGCACATAGTATGCGAACGTACTGCATTGGGGCACCTGGCTGGCTCAGTTGGTAGATCAAGAGTCACTCTGGGTTTCAGGGTTGTAAGTTTTAGCCCCATGTTACAAGGTGTAAAATCTTACAAAAAAGAAAAAGTTACTTCGGGGACACCTGGCTGGCTCGGTAGAGTGTGTGACTCTTGATCTCGGGGTTGTGAGTTCAATTCCCACATTGGCTGCAGAGATTACTTAAAATCTTGGTGTGCCTGGATGACTCAGACATCTGACTGTTGATTTTCAGCTCCGGTCATGATCTCCTGTTTCATGAGATCGAGTCCTGCATCAGGCTCCATGCTAGCAGTGCAGAGCCTCCTTGGGATTCTCTTACTTGCTCTTGTAAATAATAAACTTAAAAAAAATCACTGCATCCCTTAAGGAGAGAAAAGGCTGTGGGAAAGAATAAAAGGTTTGGGAAATATCAGAAATCCATTTAATATAAAGATGAAAGGATAAAGTTGAAGAAATCTCCCATAGGGCAAAAAATATGAAAAGAAAAAGGAGCACCTGGGTGGCTCAGTCGGTTGAGCATAGGACTTCAGCTCAGGTAATGATCTCACAGCGTGTGATTTGGAGCCCCGCTTCGGGTTCTGTGCTGACAGCTCAGAGCCTGGAGCCTGCTTCAGATTGTGTCTGCCTCTCTCCCTGCCCCTCCCCATCTTGCACTCTCTTTCTCAAAAATAAACATTAAAAAAAATTTTTAAAGGAAAAAGGG